CTGGTGTTGTCATTAAATGTATCCATTTATCTGTACAATAGCATATCACAGGACATAAACAGGGAGCACTCCCCTCTGCTCCAGCTGGGTCCAAGGCCATTTGAATGGTCCTTGTCCCTCTGCCTGATGTTCTACAACACAGTTGGCCTCAGCCACCACTGTGCTGGTTGAAGTTACCTGCTTAATGGGGTAATGTGAGGGAGCTGAGCCCAGGTTACTAGGCCCTCATGAATGTCATTGCTAATATTGGCCATTCATAGTACCAGGTGACTTCCTGGTACCCAGAGTTACCCCAGTGACTTCCCCTCACTGCGGACATACTCCTTATATGGAGGCCACTCTATCTACTTCTCAAAGATGGAGCCAATTGCCATGGCCTGGCCTGTCTGGTAATTTGTTTTATAACTTCACATTTACAGGCACAAAGCAGCCTGAACCAGTAGACGGCATCAGGTTGTGTGGGACCCTTCCTGTGTCATCTACTGGAAGCTTCCCTCTGGAGCCAGGATCTTTAATTGGGGAGGTCCTGAAGATGAGCAAAGAGGCAGCATAGATGCCCCGAGTGGCCACTGGGGTCTGGCCGGGAGGGTGTGACTGGTGGATTGGTGTCCTGTTCCCTCACCTTGAGCTCTCCAGGCTTAGCCTGACTCCCAGATGCCAGTGTGGCATCTGCTGGCCTGTGTGCCAGGGGCTAATGCAGGCCTCCAGGAAAGGGCCTTAGCAAGGGACTCATTGGATTTAGTATGAACATCCCAGATGTTTTGCCTTTTGGTAGAATGACTTTGACGCACATTTTATAATTGCTCACAGAGTTATTCCTTGAAATGCAAACCCAGGGCTTGTGTGGAAACAGTGTAATAACCCTCTCTACCTCACATCCCTGTTTGTGAGCCCCTTAATCTCTAAAAAAAATTACTTGCTTTAGAATCTTTCCCTCCGTTTGAACAACTGGAACGAAGATGGGTGACTCATTTACAATTAATACCCCAAAACATAGCTGTTTCCATCTACATCTGTATCCATGTCTATCTACATCTACATCTATGTCTACTTCTCCACTTTTTTTTTTTTTTTTTTTTTTAGAAGTTTTCTCCAGTGTCAGAGGTATTCCTGTTGGTTATTTATATACAACAGAGTTTTTGTTAAATTTGACTCATATTCCATGTTCCTGGTGAAGCTTTTTTCATGAATTCATTTCAGATTATGGTTATATTGAAGTTTCGTCTGTGCCAGAGAGTATAGGTTACCAAAATTTGTATTATCAAACACAGATGCAGGAAACATGGAGAAATAGTGGGGAATGCTTTTAGGGAAATAAATTGCTTTTCTCTAAATTGGGCAGATAACCAATCCTCCTTATTCATATTTTATAGGTTCCTAAAAGCAAAGCTTTAGAAGCCACCAAAGTGGCTATTGATATAGGCTACCGACACATTGATGCCGCGTACATGTATCAGAATGAGGAGGAAATGGGCCAGGCCATTCGAGAGAAGATCGCTGGTGGTACTGTGAAGAGAAAGGACATATTCTACACTTCCAAGGTGAGAAGAGGTTCCTGTTATTTCAGGGGAAACAACCTTTGATCCTGTATTAATTTATCTCTTACCATTGTTCAGCTCAATAATCAAAAGGAAAAAAAGGAAAGCTTGCTTTCTTCTGAAGTGTGTTAAATGTAAGACAGTTGATCAACCTCACTGAACAGCAGTCAGCAATCAAACTAAAGTACAAGTAGGGCCCTCCATGGTGGCACAATAGGTTAATGCATTGAACCATGAAGTTATCTGTAGCCACTGTGGCACAAGTTCAATCCCCAGCCAGGGTGGTGACCCACATGGTGCAGCAGACCTCTCCTGTTTTGCCCTCTGCTTCCCTCAGCAGTGTACTTCAGTCAATCTGCCTGTTCTACGCCCCACTCTGTCTCTGTTGAATCTTCTTCTCCCCCACACCTCTGGTCTGTACCCCATTAGTATGCATAAATAAATAAAATTTAAAAAGCACAAGTAACAAACTTATCTTCTTTAACTGTCCCTTGATTGACACAGTTTGACTCTTCAGCAGACTCTTTCAGGATGTATGCATGTGAGGTTGACATATCCATAAAAGAGACCCAGACCAGGAAATGTTCTTCTTTAAACTCTGCTTTGAGTTCTTTGAAATTAGGTGAAAAGCTCTGCTACTGATATACCTAAAGAGAATTGATAGCTCTATGCACGTCTACTTTGATAACTTGTTTTCAAATGTGGTCTTCAAAGCAAGAATATTTGGGGGCATTTATTGTATCATATAGGGAATTACAATTTCACTTGCCTGGAATTTCTCGACTCTCCTTTCAGAGATAATTTTTCAATTCTTAAAACATTTAACTACGTTTTGTGCATCTAAGTTTTATACACAGCTTTCCTAAGGTCACTCAAATTTCAGTTCTCTTTTAGAAACGCATTTATACTAAGCAACATAAACTTAGCCCCAGCGTTTTTTTATTTGACCACCAAAGCAAGCAGTTTGTTTTGACTTTAAAAAAAGAAAGCAATCAAGGGCCCTCCCTGGTGGCACAATGCGTTAAAGCACAGCATTATGAAGCTAGCCAAAAACACTTCGGCACGAGTTCAAACCCTGGACTGGGAGGTGACCCACAAGGCATAGCAGACCTCTTCTGTCTCACCTGCTGCTCCCCTCAGCAGTGTACTTCATAGCCTGTTCTGCTCCCCACTCTGTCTCTGGTGAATCCTCTCACTTCCTGCACCTCTTGGCCTGTCCCCCAGTTCTGTATGCTTAAGTAAATAAATCTTAAGAAAGAAGAAAAAAGTAAACAATTATCCCAACAATAAAACTAGCTTATCTGCTATGTAATCTCTGGAAGACATCCCTGTCCCTGTCCCTGCCCCTGCCCAGCCCCACACCCCATACATGGAACAATACTACTTCCTGTAGGAGAGGAAAGACCTGTTGGGTCCTGTGGTTGGCTGATTTTCACAAGCATGAACATTCTCTATCTTCCTGACCTCATAGAGTTTCTGTATATTCATGTTTATATTTTAACATGATGTGTAATTTTATTTCTCCAAACGTGTGGAACCAGAGTCATTTTTAAATTTATTTTGGTCTCTGCAGCTTTGGTGTACTTTCCTTCGACCAGACTTGGTTGGACCAGCCCTGGAAAGATCATTGAAGAAACTTCAATTGGATTATGTAGATCTCTATCTTATTCATATGCCAGTTGCCCTGAAGGTCAGCTTTTGTTTTTCCTTGTTAGTCCCAAGCTCTTTTTTGTAACTGCTATAAGCAGTTTCATGATCTCATTCATCTTGTTGGGGGGGATGGGGGGGGGTGGAGGTGTGTTGTACTGAAAGAGGTTTTGAGAAAGGTGGGTAGAGTTGCTAGCTGATTTATGATACCCCTTGCAGTTGAGCACCTCAGCCTCAAGATTTTTTACTTTCATCTCCCACATGTTAGAAGATTGAAATTCAAAGCTCTCATTGGTTGCAACTCTTTGACTTGAAGAAATGGCATGTTGAAATGATGTGTTCCTATTTGTAGACCTTTAGTGATTAGGTTCCTTAAGAACACTGAGTGACAAAGATAACAGAAGTACAGTAGGAAGACCTCATATTTTATATCCTGCCCCTCATGTTAAGGGGCAAGAAGTCCTCCCCCAATATGGCCCTCTCAGGCCTATCCAGAGTAAGGAACAAAGGCTGGTTCATACCACACAATTGGCTGCTTTGGGATTCACTGGCCCAATGTCTCATCACCATGTATGTTTGTTGAGCTGGTATCCACACTCTCTCTGAGCCGGATTATCATAAACTGAGGCTAAAACATGTTGATTGATAAAGGGAAGTCCAAGCATCCCAAGTCTTTCCTTGAGAAATATAATCAAACTCAACTTCAGGACAGCTCAATTTTAGGGAAGTTTTAGGGTGTATGTAAAGCAAGGTAAAGATTTTTGTAGAGACTTATGATGATTCTGAATTTCCCCCCATGTCATCACTCCCACAATACACACACAATCTGGTTAAGAATCACTCCCTGCTGAAGGTTGTGTGACCAGGCTCCAAGGCCACAGGAAGATCATTCATTTAAAAAAGCTACAAAGTTACTTTATCTTCTCTCTCTGTATGCCAGCCTGGGGAGGAGCTTCTACCAATGGATGCCAGTGGAAATGTTATTTTAGAGACAGTGGACCTGCTTGGCACATGGGAGGTGAGTATGCAGACACCAGAGAGGCAGTGGGCCACGAGTGAAAGTGGACAGATGGAGAGTCACAAAATACAGGTTCAGGACCTTCAGTTTCTACCCCCAGAACCAGCACTAACTCCACATCTCGATGTTTTCAACTGAAAGCTGGGAGCTGAGTGGAATGGTCTAAACTTAATCTAAACTTCTATGTCCTATCTAAACTTCTATGTCCTATGTAAGGGTATCTTTGCCCATCAAGCAAGTAGAGCAGATGAGCCCTATAGAGGGGATTGGAGGAAGCCAAAAAGGTGTGAGAACTATATTGGAGCACAAACATATCAGTGAAGAAGGAGAAACACCAGTCTGACTCAGTGGAGGCATAGAATGTGGAGGGAAATGAACTGCCTTTAAATGTCCCACCCAAATACTTTTTATAATAACTCTGGGGAAGAGAGTCAGCAAAACCCTCTGCTATGGAAAACCCAAGGATTTATCTTTGCCCTTGATTTTGATACAATTTGTTAAAGAACTATTACTTTACAACAAAAGAGTCACCTTGAAAGCTGACGAGGGAGGCAAGGAATTTGAAAGCACCTTCATGTTTTTGTATTGTCTGGATTACAAGTAACAGACACAAGGACACAGATATCTGTACATAGTGATAAGTAGGTTAGGAATTAATGTATCTAGGTGATAAACTGGTTTGTTTCGTTTAGACATATTATTACATATGTGAAACTAGATTTGCAGTTTTCAAAAGGTCAGTGTCAAATGAAAGGAGCAAACTACACTAATGGTTGGCCACACGCTTCCTTCCCTAGGCTCTGGAGAAGTGTAAAGACGCAGGTTTAACCAAGTCCATCGGCGTTTCCAATTTCAACCACAAACAGCTGGAGATGATCCTGAACAAGCCAGGGCTCAAGTACAAGCCAGTCTGCAACCAGGTGAGCCCGCAGGCCTCCAGGGGCTCCTGGCTCTTCTCTCCCATCTTCTCCCTTATTAACATCCCCCAACTGCCTGGCTTTGACTGCGCAGGAAATGTGCATACTCCCCCTGCATATTTTATTGGGAGAGGTGCATGGGGAGTACTGTTTAAATTCTTCTGAGGTAGCTGGGATTCCTCTGAGGCTTTCCAGGGGAGATGTGACTTGGCTGATGAGAGTGTAATTCAAGGAGGGTCAGGGCCAGAGGTAGAGCTTTTGGGGTCACTGCTTTATGATGACAACTGAACTTACAGCAGTGGATCAGCTCTCCTGGGAAAGCTCAGAGCAGGTTGGGAAGAGGGCAGGAAAGTCAGCACGTAAGGATCAGGCGAAGCACACTGGGAAGGAGATGGATGAGGAACAGCTAGTCCTCGCGGTGGCGGGGGGGAAGGGGATGTGCGGCGAGGGTGGTGCTAGAAAGCCAGAAAAGAGTTGAAATTTTGAGTGAACTGTAGGCTGAATCCTGCTGAGAGCAGCTGTGCAAACAGGTGCCTGAGAAGCCTGTTCTGCAGCTCCTCCGAGATCTGCAGGACTTGTCCAGCTGGTGAGAGGAAAGAGCCAGCTGGAGTTACAGGCTTACACAGTGTCAGTGCTCATGTTTCTGATCTCTCCCCGTCTTACAGGTGGAGTGTCATCCTTACCTCAACCAGAGCAAGCTGCTGGACTTCTGCAAGTCCAAGGACATTGTTCTTGTTGCCTACAGCGCCCTGGGGTCCCACAGAGACCCAAGATGGTAATGGGGACATCAGAGTTGACTTAGAGCAGCTACTGTTGATGTTTATTCTCTTCTTAAACATTAAGTTTTAGCATTATATGAGGTATAGTTCAGACATCAGCCACGGAAACACAGTAGTGCAGTGAGTCCCATGTGACTTTCTACCTTCACAGTCTCTTCCGTTCTTTCACGCTTGTTTCACCTGCACATGTAGTCTGACACTCTCCAATAAAATGTGACTTTATGGTAAGTTCCATACAGCTTGTATGTGTGAGTCTTGACAAATGGATGTCCTGCTTCACCCAACCCCCAGATTGGGTGAAGATTCAGAACCTTTTTTCTCCCAAATAAGTTCCTTTATGTTCCTTCTCCATGCTTCCTCATCACAAAGGAACCATTTTTCTGATGTCTTTTTCAGCTTACATAGTAGTTACATATAAGATGAGTCTTAGAGAATACAGCCCTGTGTCCAGCTTCTTTTGCTCAGTGCATTGTCTGTGAGATTTGTCCATGTCATTGCAGGAATCGATTCATTCCATTGCTGAAGTGAATTCCATGTACATTTTGTTGTCTGGACACATGCTTCTCTATTGTTTCTCTATGCTTCTCTATGTTTCTCTATGCTTCTCTATTGTTTCTCTATATGCTTCTCACATGTTTCTCTATTGGCCCATTGATGTAAATGTTTGTTTTCACCAGTTTGGTGCAGTTATGAATGTGTCTCTATGAATATGCACAAACTCTTTCATAGTCACACCTATTGTACCTTCTTGGTTAAAGCGTCCAGGGGTTGGGGGAAAGGGCGAGAACACTCTAGATTTTCAGTGCTAGACCTTTCAGTGGTTGGGTTTTGGTTTCTGTTTTCAGGGTGGCACAGGACAGTCCTCACCTACTGCAGGATCCTGTCTTGGCTGCCATTGCCAAGAAACATAATCGCACCACAGGCCAGGTGGCCCTGCGCTACCAGCTGCAGCGGGGCGTGGTGGTCCTGGCCAAGAGCTTCAATGAGAAGAGGATCAAAGAGAACTTCCAGGTACTACAGAGTCTCGGCCCCCTGCCCCCTCAGTCAGGGTGTCGTGTTGAAAGCCATCATCCTCATTGCTGCATAGACCTGCCTTCATCCATTTCCTCTCCTCCCTCCCTGGTGGTGTGTGGCCTGAAGGGTCAACGGATTGACTCCTGTACAAGGCTAACATGAGACTCAACCTCAAACTCCTGAGCTTTGCTTCTTGCTGGCTGTAATAGTGGGCACGTTTCATTTCCAGTTCTCATCAGCATTAGCAGTACTTCTATGCAGAGGAGGGGAAACTTTGCTTCCTCTTTCAGCCACTTTCCTAAATATACTTTTTTTTTTGGATGATTTTTTTTATTTTGCATTTCATATATTATCTAGTTTCACATTCTCAAAGGATCAGCAATTACAACAGTCACCTAGTCTCCCGCATCTGAAAACGGGAAGACATTCACAGCTGTGGCGGAAGGCAAAGCACTGCTATGCTCACCAAACAAAATAAAATTGCATGATTTTTCCTTCATTTCCTGCCATTGGGATTGGCAGTTTTGTGAAGCCACCAGGATTCACTGCTGTCCACCATTGTGCTTAGCATGGTTCTCTTCGTGATTTTCCTCCCTACTGAAGTAAAAAGACATGTGGGATAGCAGTGTGCTCACCCACTGGAGACCCAAATGTCGGATGTCACCTTTCCCCAGCCATACACCTGCAGATTGCAGTCTAAATAAGATATTAAATCAATAATTTGACAAAAATGAAGTTTTCCCTAAACCCTCCCTCATGTATCTCTTGGCCCCTCAGATCAGTCTCGCTAACCACACAGACAGATACAGGTGCTGGGTTTTTCCTGAAATTGGTGCCTGGATGAAATAGTGAGATTCCCACCTCTATGTATCTTACCAAAGGCCTGTCAGGTTCCTTTTTAATGGACATCACATTATCACACTAGGAGTTATGTTCATCAAATAAAAACAAATCTGGGTTGATCTAAGAGAGGCATTATTCAAAAGGAAAAATGTAAGATGGATAAATGTGTTAAAGACCACCAGAAAGAGTTTCCTTGAAGAGGAAGCAGTAAACATACCCAGGTGAGCAAGTCTTTGCAGGTGGTGTAAACAGGCACTGAGGATTAGCTGTGGATTGGGGTGTGCTTCTTCCTTAGGTCAACTGGGGGGCCTTCCTGAGGCCTTTATTGAGGGGTGCTCTTTACTCCAATGCTTGTTCACTCAAATGCTCACATTCACAGTGTCAAGTTCTCAGGGTGGTGAGAAATGGAAAGTTCTCCATCCCACCACAACGTCCTCATGTTGCCAGAATGAAGACAGTTGCCTTTGGGAAAAGTTTAATGTGCTTCTTTCCTCCTTTCAGATTTTTGACTTTAAGCTGACTCCCGAAGACATGAAAGCAATCGATGGCATGAACAGAAATTTTCGATATTCTGTGATGGAGTTGTAAGTCACTCATAGGTTGTTACCCTTGTTGTTCCAGAATCTGGAGATTGGCAGAGCACTGCTTCGTTAGGCCAGGGAGACAGGGCTGACTTCCAGCAGAGAAACAGGCAGACTCACTGCAGACCTCAGGCCAGATCTTACTCCAGAGCGTGGTCTGACCCGTCAGAGATGGGACTGAGGTCTAGAGTGTAGATAAAATTGCGGAAGTTCATGTCACTGTGGGTTCGTTGCTTTTATGCCCCGAATACCTGCACTTACGGGTTTCGTGCAGGGCTGACATGACTATTACAGAGAGGCCCTGCCCACTGCACTTCCAGGGACTATGTCGACATCCTACTTTCATTCTTTTAAGTTTAGGAGAAATGAGTACGTGAACAATGACCATATGATGATGAATGTGGCCTGGACCACATTCATCTTACATATCACAGTGGTCAGATGCCAGAAGCTGCACTTGCTCGATCCCCTGCTCAAGAGATGACCCACATGGCGTGGCAGACCTCTCCTGTCTTGCCTGCTGCTCCCCTCAGCAGTGTACTTCGTCAATCTGCTTTTTCTGCTCCCCACTCTGTTTCTGGTGAATCCTCTCACCCTCACACCTCTGCTTGTACCCCAGCTTTGTATGAATAAACTTAAAAAAAAAATAAGTCATTGGGTGGTGGGACTGGAGAGCATGTTGAGGGGAGCTGCATGTGGTCAGGACTCCACATGGTATGTTGACCCAGTAGGGCTGTTGTAAATTCAGTTTGCAGCCCATCCTGGCTGCCTCTTCAGAGTAGCTGCCTCTTCACAGCAGGCAGCCAGAGTCAACACATTAATGTCCTTTCTTCTTTTCCAGTGCAATTGGTCACCCTTACTACCCATTTTCAGAAGAGTACTGAGCACGAGTTGTCCATCATGAATTGTACCAGAATTTCTTGCTCTAGGGCTGTGAAGAAATCTTCTGTATTTTGTTGTGGGGGTGGGGAGATTGAAACCAGTGCTTATAGTTTCAAGGCTGCTGGCCTTTCTGTTTTCCTCATTATGAAATAATAAAGACTTCAAAATAAAGATGTTTCTTTTTCCTGATTGTTAAAATAGGTCCTATGTATTATCAAACATAACAGAAAATGTGAAGGAAAGGATACAGAGTAAAAAATAGCCTATAATTTGCTCAGTTCAATTAAAAATACAATTTTTGTTGTATTTTCCTTTTTGATTCTTCTATACAAATGTGTGTTTATTTATAAAATTGGGATCTTCAGATTGCAAGCTTTATCCTTCCCTTGCATAATTATTTTCCCACGCAATCAAACAGTATTCAAAGATTCCAGTATTATATTTGCTTGTTGTAAAGCAGTGCATCTTACATAATATGAAAATTCAATAGATTTATTGAATTTTCATATCATGTTGTGTTTTTGATTTTTCTTATATATTTTGCCATTCATTACATTATTCATTCAGCATAACTTTATTGAGCATCCCTTATCTGCCTAAAGCCCTTTTTAAACCTGTTCAAAACCTGACATATGCCTGTCTAAAATGGCCTGACTAAAGCTATGCATCAGCCTGACTAAAGCTTTACTTCACCCTGACTAAGGTTTTACTCAGCCTGACTTTATTTTTTTTAATATATTTAAATTACTCAAAGCTTTTTTGTTGTTCATTTCTGTATAATGTTTTACTTCTCCTCTTAGGTATCCTATAAAATTCCCAGGTCACCCATGAACCATCACCATAATCTCTTGTGTTCTTCCCTCCCCTCCCCCTCCCCATTCTGATTTATCGTTTGCTTGCTAGGTTTGTCTTTTAATTTCCAGCCCCGTGTTTGGTTTCCCTATATTCTTCCTGTAAGTGAAACCATCCACTAGTTTTCTTTTTCCTTCTAACTTATTTCAGCCTGACTTTAAAGCCCCACCTTAGCTTGACTAAAGCCCTAACTCAAGCTGACGAGAGCTTTTTCTCTGTCTGATTTAACGCCCTACTTAAGCTGATCTAAAACCTTTTCTGTGCCTCACTATAGCTCTGCCTAGGCCTGACTAAAGCCTTCCTTTTTCCAGTCCAAAGCCCTGCCTCAGTCAGCCAAAAGCCCTACTTTTGCTTACCTTCAGCCCTAATGAAGGCCACCTAAAACCCTATTAGCCTACCTGGAGCCCTGTTTAAGCCTGTGTAAAGCTTTACGTAACCACAGAATAAAGCCCTATGTTAAGCAGGCCTAAATCCCTGCCGAAGCCTGCATAAAGCTCTACTTGATTCTGTGAGAGCCATAACTTAATCTGCTATTTATCCACAGCACTACAGGCTGGAAGAGTAAAAGATTCTCCCCTAGAATCTTCTAGGTATATTGCCAGCTGATGCCTTGATGCCCAGCTCTCACTTCCAGAGCTGAGGGAATACATTTTTGTTGTTCCAAAACACTGAGTTGACATTGATTTGTTATGGCAGACCCAGAGAACTCATACAGGTGTGGGTGAGGTATTTGGGGAAGGAGCAGTTCCCTCCAAGGAGGAGTTCCTGGCTGTGAGCAAGAAACTAGTTGAAATCACATAGAAGTACACTAAGAACACCGAAAGCAAGTCAGCGAGACTGTGGCTGGGCTGAAAGAACTGAGCATGGGAGTGGGCACAGCGGGAGAGGGGGATGGAAAGATGAGAGAGACTAACCCAAGGACAAGAGATGCCAGTTGGGACAGTAAGACAACACTAGCCTCACCTGTCTCTGTGGAGGGAGGAAGTGGTCTGGTCAGCAGAAGTGCAGTGCCAAATAGTCCCATCAAATTAAAGGCAAAGTTGTGGGAGTATCTTGTCTGAAAATGCAGAGGGGGTTCCTGCCAGGAACAAAACCCACCAGACAAAAAGTCAGTAATTGTTGAGAAATTTACGAGGCTGGACGTAACTAATGATGACAAGTAGCCACAACGGGATGGACAGTGCTTCTGATTCCAGGCTGTTGACAGCTGTTCTTCCACCTATTCTTTTGTTTTCAGTGTGTGACGGGTTAGGATGCACCCCAGTGAGCCATAGAATAAATGTGAGTGTGTTAGTATTTGCAGATGAAACCACTTCTCACAATCTCAGTGTACTATTGGGCCGTGATCGGCCTGGCCAGTGCTGCCAGCACTGAATTTCAGCACAGGGGGTTGGGATGTGGGGAATTGATAACTACTCAAATGCTTAATTCAGGGGTCCTAGGGAGCTGTGCTGTGCTATGTGGGTGTGCCTGGTGAGCTGACACTCTGCTCTAGAACCTCATCAGATTCCACCTTGAAGTTTGCGGGTCTCTCCTCTTTAAAAACACACCAATATGGCCCTCCCTGGTGGCGCAGCGGGTTAAAGCACAGCACTGAGAATCTAAAGCCTCTTCCGCATGAGTTCGATCCCGCCTGCCCTGGAGGTGACCACATGGCGTGGCAGACCTCTCCTGACCCGCCCGCTGCTCCCCTCAGCAGTGTACTTCGTCGATCTGCCTGTTCTGTTCCCCACTCTGTCTCTGGTGAAGCCTCTCACCGCCCCTGAGCCTCTGGCCTGTACCCCAGTTCTGTATGCACAAATAAATAAATCTTTAAAAAAAAACACACCAATATATATGCAGATGCACACACATATCCAAGGAGATAAGTGCACACATACACACATAATCACACACAGGCACTCACACAGAACACATGCATTCATGTACATTCATACACATACACAAACATGTACATACATACATTTATACACTGATGCTGATACATTTATACACTGATGCCGATACATTTATACACTGATGCCGAGGTACACATAGACACACACATACAGAAATGTTTATCATACATAAACACACATTCCAGGATGTCATTTCCTGATCTCTTTTCTTTCTTACAGACTTCAGAGCTCACAATCCTTCAGTTACAGGGTTTCTTTTACAAACTCTTCAGTCAGATGACAATTCCTTTAATGTGCCCTTGATACATTCTTGCAAAAGATTGAAGCAAAAATAGAGTGAATTTATTATGTGTCTTCAAATATTTCTGGTTGTTCTTGCAAGAATGTTTTAAAATGAATGGTTGTTTTACTCTCTTTTAGAGTTTTGGATATCATTAGAGAATTCTTAAGCATGTAGGTCACATCTGATGGTTGTTCATATCCTTCTTTTGTGTTTACAGGATAATCACTCTAAGATCTCAGGAGGGGGTCTTGTCTCTACTGCAGTTTAGAACAGCAACCAGCTCAGCTGCTTTTGGAAATGCAATTTCCTCAGGAAATATGATTAGACTCTCCATTGTTCTGATTTCTTGATTTTTTAAACAGTCTCCTTTCTGCTAACACAGAATGTTCTAAAGGGGATGAGATTGGAAAATATTTGTATCTGAGGTTTTTTTCCCCATCACTTTTCTCTCTTCAATTTAAAAATAACATTAATTATTGTACTTAATAGTCACTTAACATGATCTTGACAATCACAACAATGTGTGAGACTGTAAAGCATCATCTGACATAAGCATAATAGAATACATGGAAATCTGAAGAGTCTAACAAGTTGCAATATGAAATATGGAAACTTTTGATGACTTCCAGAAAGCTTTTATTTTTATCCCTCATCCTATCACTATACAGGTTGGCCAGAGTCTCATATTCTCACCGGCCCTGCTAGTGTTTACATGTCTCCTTCCTGCCTTTATTTTCTTAGATCTGTTGCTAGTAAGTCAATTACCTTCTTGGTATCGGTTGTATCTCAAGGACAGTGTACAATGGCATGGAAAATGAATTGCGAGCCAACTAGAAGACAGGCAGCCAGTGAAGCATCTAAAACACACAATCCCCACCCCACCCCAGTGACACCTCCCTCTATGCAGGTTTTCATTGGTTAAATTATTCAATGGTGATTTCTTTTTTAAAAAGATTTATGGACTTATGTATACAAGAACTGGGATGCAGACAAGAGTTGCAGAGGGTGAGAGGATTCACCAGAGACAGAGTAGGGAGCAGAACAGGAATTGAACTTGTGCTACAGTGGCTGCAGATTGCTTCATAGTGCTGTACTTTAACCTACTACGCCACCAGGGAGGGCCCTTCAGTGGTGATTTCTAAGAGGAGACCAGAAGCAGACAGGATTGGCTAGAAGGATGACTGGATGGGCTGCACAGAGTCTCAAAGACGGTGCTTGGCTGGACCAGAGCTTGTTGTGGTGTCCCTAGTCTCAAATACAGTGCCTGACAGGTAGCAGGACTTACCAACTGCATGATAAATATTTTTACCAAGATATTAACAGCCCTTAACCAGCCGCGGTGGGGTCTACCTGTAGTCCCAGCTATTTGGTATTCCTATGTATGAAGATAACAGCCCAGGAGTCTGGGCTGATTGGGGGTCCACACTAAATTCAGCATCAATATGATGACCTCCTGGGAGCAATGTCCACCAGGTTAACTGAGTTGGGGTGAAGCAGCCCAGGTCTGGAAATGGAGCTAGTCATTGATTATCTGCACTTCATACTCCACAAGTACTCCAAACAGATGTTTCCAAAGCATTGAATCCCTTTGAGGGATGTGAGTGTTCCTCAATAAAATTAATCCTTTCTGGGCTCTCCTTGGTGATGCAACAGGTTAAAACACAGCACTATAAAGTTTGATCCTTGGCTAGGGAAGTGACCACATGGCGTGGCAGACCTCTCCTGTCCCACCTGCTGCTCCCCTCAGCAGTGTGTTCCAGTGGATCTGCCTGTTCTGCTCCTCACTCTGTCTCTGGTGAATCCTCTCAACACCCCCACCCCCCACCCCTGCACTGCTGGCTTGTACCCCAGTTCTGTATGCATAAATAAATAAATCTTTTAAAAATTATCTTTTCTTTATCTTTGATTCATTGTCAGATTCTTGATTACCAAGTTCTTGCTCTAGAGATATGGGCAGAGCACACAAGAATCCTGTAAGGAAAAGAGTTTGAGTTAGAAATATTAACAATTAATAATTTTAAATCTTGGAGATTTCTTGGATATTCCTTCAATCTTCTATTCATTCTCATTTAGGACAGAATAACCAAAGTTTCCTTCAGTCAGAAAGATTTTAGTTGGA